TCAATTGCCGAGAATTACAATTAACAATTCAGAGAATGTGTGTGGAAAGCTTCCCAGATATCTGGTCGTATAATAAGTAATTTCGGATTTTTCAGAGAATGGAAAGATTGTATTTTTATATTGTTATAACTTTCTGAAACAGTGTATACGCTTCTCTGCTATCCTTCACATACATTGTTTTATAACATACTAATATAATAAATATTTAATTATTATAATAAATATATCAGTTATAGTAAAATCATAACAATCAAAGATATAATCGTCACGTTTTACCTGAAGAATTCAAAATTACTTGCACACAACCCAATACTGTTTCTGTCTTTATATAAAATAAAGAAAGAAAAAAAATATGGTTACTGTTGAAGAATTTAATTCTTTTTTAGAATGTCAGTATTAAAATGAGGTTAACGTTCACAATAAAGTCTAGTTTTTTTATACTAAAATATTCTTAAATGTAATTAAAAGACATGCACAAAAAAAGATTCATGCTCTTATTAATTTGCAACTTTTTACAATCCCCTACATTTTATCTAATTTATTCCCGTTAGGGTCTTTAAACGCGTTGAGTTAAGTGTATATACGCCGATACTTCCGCGAGCATCCCTAAGTAGTTCACGCACGTCGAAGCACGTTGAAAACAAGTGCAACGCGACAGCGGCCGTTTTAACGTACGACACGCGGTCGTCTTCCTGTTAGGTGAAATCGTCTGATTGCCGTCTTCCGCATTGGCACGCAATGTATGGTACTTTTATATCTAAAAGCGACCCGTTTATACCATTGAAATGAAACTTTGCTCCATTTGTCCGTGTTACCTGCGCAAAATGCGTTCCGATCGCTTTATTTCCGCGCACCGCGTTCCTCCAATTGTTCTTAAATCATTTTTAACGAATTGCACGCGAACACGCGTATATAAAAAGTCACTATTGTACAGATAAGTCAGCATTATACCATCGCCGATAGAAATTCGCAAAAATGAATCCTTAATCCTTACAACTTGGAAAGCCACTACAGTATGTTCTTATCCATCTTATTCCATCTTATTCATCTTCTCCAAATTAAAAAAAAGACTTAAAAAGATTTAAAAACTTAAAAGAACGTTTAAATAAAAAATTAAAAAAATAAAAATAAGTAACTAAATACACAAATATATGTCACACAAATTTTTAACGTATTACTAATATTAAACTTTGGAATTTTTATACAAATAATAATTGACATTTTATTTTATGTTTTTATTTTTTTATCTTATATATTTTCGCGTAATTTTTGGTAAAAATAAATAAATTGCTGTTTTTTCATAACTTTTAACAAAAAGAAAAAGACTTTTGTATGATAAAAGAAAAAAAAATGTCAATTTAAAAGAAAAATTACCGAACGATCTAAGAAGCCGTTATAGTGATGCGGTTGGGCCTCCTCATATTTCTTATTAATCTTCCCTTTTGATGTATACGAAAAGGTTCTAGTTCAAAAACTGCGAAAGTCGCCCAAAAAATCGCTCAGATTTTAAGATTTAATCAACGAGACGTATCTCGAGTTTCCACTAACAATTTTTGTCGTTAAGATTCACGGATGATCTTTTCGTGAACGTTGTTTTCTGCGCGGAATACATAGCTCGACTACGCAAATGAGAACTAATGACGAACGACTTCGTGTCCCGCACATAATTATCTCGCATAAGAGACGTTGCGTGATGTCGGGTACGACTCTCGTTACACCGGGGCTCGTTCACGTGCGTCCTTACACGAATATTACATCCGCTCCTGTATTTGTGTGATTGCATCGAACTTTATTGACGAGAATGTCAGCACACTCCCACGTCCTTTAACGTTAATTTTCTTTTTCTTCTCGCTCTATCTCTCGCTATCTCTTTCTTCTTTTCTGTCTCTTTATCTCTCGTAAAATGTATATCCGTAAAAATACGAGGAATGTTTTTCTTGAGTGGCAAAAACGTATCAGCATCTAATTATGTATGCAAATTATAACGAGATGTTAACATAATTCGCAGACGCGCCTGTATTTCGCGAGAGTTATGTAACAATATCTACCCCGTCCTCTCCCCCTTCTTTTAATCGCCATAATCTTTTTTTGGGACAAAGTATCGCAACACGGTGATAACGAGACATGTTTGAAAACACATGTAGATAAGAAAACTGCAAGTAGAATATTACGCTGACATATCTCCTTCAACGTAAATTGTATTTACTGAAAATTACTTTAAAACTTGGCCATGCACATTATTCATGAGCCTATATTTTTTGTACGCGCTGACTCGTATCGAGTGCAACTTAGAAGTACAAATATTACAAAGAGAAAGATAGTTAGATAAATAGATTAATTTCTTATGTGCGCTGTAGGAAAAATTCCCCCAAGAGGGAGAAATAAAAAGAAAATTTTTTAAAAATTCGTCCCTTCATTAAGGATTTCTTTTTTTTGAAAGAATGTGAATTTTAGTGCAAAAATATCAGGGATTTTGGTACAAAATTAAGCACTTGGATATATTATATAGTACATTATCATCTCAAATAATTTCTCTTAAATAGATTATTTATGTAAAAAATAAAGAGAATTTTCGTTCATTATACGTCAAAATTTTTGTTCGCGAGTCTACAATTTACTATAGACGTTCATTAGAAATTTAATTCGGCAGGCTATGTTTTTTATTGTGTGTACTTGTTTTTCGCATGTGACTGTGTTATTTCTTTTGATGTACAATGAAGTATCGCTGATGAATCTGTTTGAAAGGCAAAGGCCTTCCGAAGCAGGTCAATGAAAATAAAGAGTGCTAAAGAAGAAGTGGTGATAGAAAATGGTTTCGGAAGTATTTGATTGATACAAAAAAACCTGTCATTTTTCTATCGAGTTCTCGTAGGAAATTTGGCTATTAGAAAGAAAATAAGAAGTTCTCATAAGATGTCTGAAACAATACAGAGTCGATGTTTACTTTATTTGTAACAATTATTAATTCTTCGAAATGGGATAATTTTGTTTTCTACATTTATATTTGACAAACACGACAATCTTATCTGATCTAATCACAATTTTGCAATTAATTTGCCGCTTGAGGAAAGATCGCAAGTTTCGTTTTCTGTCATTTAACTGCAATCAAATTCTAATTCCGTCCTAAGCGCCTTCTGACAAAACTAATTTTGAGCTCTTCTTTCGTGACTTCAATACCGAGCCGTGCATTGTCGAAAAAAGAATTTCTTTACTATTTTTTCTTTTTCTTTCTCTGTTCTCCGTATCTCTCCTCCGCGCGAGTACGCCGAAAGATCCACTCTTTACTCTCCTTCTTCCCACCGCGAACACCTTCATTCCGTGCCTCTTCCCGTTGATATCACTATCCTGATTTACTCCTCGTTGCCCCTCGTTATTTACGAGCTCTATCACATTCTTCCGACGAACGAAACACGCACTCGTGCGTGCTCGAGCGGCCGTGTGATCGGCGCGGGACGACGATGCGCCGGACGATGCGCTGTTTTGCTCGCGATTCGCGCACGCAGAATGGGGAATCTATTATCGTCGGGCTTTCCTCCCGCGACTGCTTGAACTTGATCGACGATTAAGGTTTAACGACACTCAAGAGAGCACTGAGAAAGCAAGGGGTGCACGCAGTGGCGTGACTACTACTCCGCTCTTCTCTCGTTATATTCTCCACACTCGTATCTAATAAAGTCTTTTCCCTACCAAGCGGGAAACTAATCAGCGGATTCCTCTTTTATCGCGAGTGTAAAAAAATAAGGGAACGCAGAAGCTATAAAGCTCGAGCGATTATTACACGTGAACTTGATATATCGGATACCTCGTAGTATTCCTCTCTCTACAATTCTAAATTTATTATTCGTTTTATTTGAAAATTTTGACGTATAACTAATGAGCGAGAATTCTCTTCATTTTATTTCTTACATAAATAACCTATGATACTTGAAAGTATAATATACTATATAACATATCCAAATGCTTGATTTTATTTTTGTACCAAAAGATCCCTGATATTTTTTGTACTAAAAAAAACATTCTTCTAAGAAAAGTCCCTTAATTTATTAATGTGTGTGTGAAAGGACCAACAAAAAATCTTTTTCTTTTTATTTCTTTTTCTTAGGGGGGACTTTCCCCAGAGCATATAATTAACTAATTTATTTACCTATCTTTCTCTTTGTATTTACACTTCTCAGTACTTTTGCACTCGACACGAGTCAGCGCGTACTCGCTTTCTGTGCTCGCTGCGGCCTCCTCGTGCTCAGGTGGAGGTGGAGGTGGAGATGAAGGAAGCCAGGGTGACGAAGATAAAAGGGTGAGGGAAGGGGGAAAACATGGATGCCGCGAAGAGAGATAGAGAGAGAGAGAGAGAGAGAGAGAGAGAGAGAGAGAGA